AGTACCTTTTAAAGATAACATTTAGAGGTTTTTGATAGAGACTTGGGGGTGTGATGGGCTTGTATCTATTTAGCTGCTGGCTCCTTATTTTAAAATGTCATGCTGTTGAGTCATGCTTAGTCATTCATTCAGAGCCTGCTTAGGTTAATTAGACACAATGTGGAGAGTCAGAATGACATCATAGATCTCCTTTGAAAGAAACAGAGGAGAAACAGAAGGGAAGAAAAGGATTCTAGCAGAATTTTCTTCCATAAGACTGGGTAGGATAGGCCAGAAAAAAAAAAAAATTAAACCAAATGGATTCCAATGAAATCCTAGATAGCATGCTGTGAATGAACAGTCAAGCTGTCGCGGGAAAGGAAGTTTAAATGCTTCCTACCAACACAGGGAGAAAACCCCCTCCTCCCCAGTTCATAATCTGCAAGGAATCAGAGAGCAGAATTTTCTTCCATAAGACTGGGTAGGATAGGCCAGAAAAAAAAAAAAATTAAACCAAATGGATTCCAATGAAATCCTAGATAGCATGCTGTGAATGAACAGTCAAGCTGTCGCGGGAAAGGAAGTTTAAATGCTTCCTACCAACACAGGGAGAAAACCCCCTCCTCCCCAGTTCATAATCTGCAAGGAATCAGAGAGCAGCATTTTATTTATTTATTTATTTATTTATTTATTTATTTATTTTTATTAATTTTTTTTTTGGAGAGGTTTTTGCTATAGGGCACGTGCGCTCACCAGAAAGGCAGAGAGAGACAGAGAGACAGAAAGCGAGAAATCATCCCCCAGGGGGGATGGCCACGCTGCAATCCCTTCTCTTCCATTCTCCTCTTGGGATCTTGGACACGCACACACACGCACCCAGTGTGAGTTTAAGCCACCGGGTCTGGGACTCGAACCGCAGTCGACTACATGGGAGTCTAGCAACATAGCCATTATGCTAACTGCTGGTCCCAGCATTTTGTTTTTTAAGAGAAATTTCTGCTACAGGGCGTGTGCACTCATCAGAGAGACAGAAAGTGAGAAATCATCCCCCGGGGGAGATGGCCACACCTCAGTTTCTTCTCCGCCATTTTCCTTTCAGGATTTTGGGCATGCACACACATGTGCCTGGTGTGAGTTTTAAGCCACTGGGTCCAGGACTTGAACCATGGCTGACTATGTGGGAGTCCAGCAACATAACCATGATACCATCTGCTGGTACCTAGGGCATCATTTTGAAAAATGTTTCACAGAATACTAACTCCATGAAATGATGGAATGATCTGGAAAACAAAAGGGGAGGGGGATCTGAAAAACTCTGGGTTAAACAAATAACTAGCTTCTTTACTGAAGGCTTTTTCAGAGCCTTTTAAATCTTTGTGTGTGTGTGTGTGTGTGTGTGTGTGTGTGTGTGTAGAGAGAGTTTTGCTATCAGGCATGTGTGCTCACCAGAGAGACAAAGAGAAATGGAGAGACAGAAAGTGAGAAATCACACCCCAGAGGGGATGGCCATGCATGAATTTTAAGCCACCACCTGGTCCAGGACTTGAACCATGATCGACTATGTGGGAGTCCAGCGACATAACCATTATGCCATCTGCTGGTCCCAAGGGCCTTTAAAATCTTAAAGTGCTATGAACTCCAAAGAGGGGTGATAGTATGTGAGGTTACCAAATCTGTTCCTAGAAATTCTTCCATCCCAACCTTTTCTCTTGGAGATTTTAATGATTTGTATTTGGAGTTCACCCTTCCCTAACTTCTGGGCCAGGAAAACACTTAGGAAGCCATGAACAGAACTGTATCCCACACTGCAGATTTGTCTTTGGTTCCTCCAAGATGTGCCTGATGTGTGCTTCTTAGATGACTTGAGAACTAAATAGATATTTTTTTATTCAAATCAAAATTTACAAAGCCAAGTAATTTTTTTTAAATCCCCAAATCTCTCTCCACAGCCTTCTAAACTATCCAAGTGAATCAATAAACTAGCTCATGAGAGGAAATTGCAGCTATTTTATATACTTTTTGGAAAACCATGCTCAATTGTAATCAGATTATAAAATGAATCACACTGCCACATCTCTTTCTGGCTGCCGGGGCTGTGCTGTGCGTCCTTGGGTTCTCAGTAGGCCCCTCTCTGCTGGAGGGCTCCAAGCTGGACCTCTGGTACAAGGAGGTCAAAGGAGCTGTTGAGCTGCGTTCTCGCGTCTCTCCTGGAGGCCCTAGAGGTCTTTGGGAATTCCTCCGAGGTTGGATCTTTCCCTCGGGAGAGCTGACCCGTCCTCTGCCCCCCTTTCTTCATGGCTTCCTTGATGCCCTCGATGTGGCATTTGTCCTCTTTCTCTGCTTTCAGCTTCAGGATGTGATGGTTCTTCTCCCGCAGGACGCTGAGCTCCCGGAGCTGCTGCGCCTTGTCCCTGGTGGTCTTGTGCACGTTACTCCTAGCCTGCTGGATCTTCTGGTCCGCCAGCTCCACCAGCATCCTCTTGCGCGCCTTCCTCTGCTCCTCGGTCTCAGTGGCGCGCCACCTGACCCGCTGGAACTGCGCTTCCTCCTTCTGGGCGTTCTCCCTCAGCTCTCGGTGCCGCTCCTTCATCAGGCACTGGTGGATCTCCTGGGACCGCTGGGCTCTCTGCTCCAGGGACAGCTGCCTGAGGAGCTCCTCGGCCTTGGCCTGGCAGTCCATGAGGACCTTCCGGGCCTGGTAGTTGACGAGGGAGCTCAGGTTGGTCTCCTGGACCTTCCTCTGGCTCTCTGAGGCGTGCAGGTGCCTCTTATGACAGGCCTCCTCCAGCCGCTTCTGCAGCAGCAGGCTGTTCTGCTCCCGCAGGCGCTGCAGAACCCTCTCCTGCTCCTGCAGGCGGCGCACCTGGCACTGCTTGCGGTGCTCCGCCTGTGCGCTCGCGCTCTCCAGATGCTCCTGGCGCTGGTTCTCCTGGTCCTCCACTTGGGTCCGCCACCGGCTCTCCCTTGGGCCCACATTCTTCTCCCGGCTGTCCCGTCGCCGGCCGCGCTTCTCGCGGTTCAGGCGAGTCTTGGGCTGCCCCTTTTCCTGCTGCCACTGCTCCTGGCTCTGTTGCAGCAGCAGGCGGCGCTCCCTCTCCAGGGTCATCTGGACCTTCTGATCTGAGCGCTTCAGCTCCTCCCAGGCTATAGCCGCCTGCTGCTGCAGCTCCCGCATCCTCTGGACCTTCTTGAGCCGGGTCAGTACGAGGGCCACGATCTTCTGATCCCTGGAGCTCATCACCGCCTCCTCCAGCTTGTTCTTGAGGATCTGGCTGTGCTGGCTCTGCATCTCTTTGCTGGAGGCCGAGCGCTGGGAGTACCGACTGGCTGGTGACTCGAAGAGCTCACTGTCTCTCTTCCCGGTGTACGCACAGGCTGACTGGGCCCTGAACTCTTGGGAGGGCGCCGAAGACTTCTCCGTGGGAACCGAGGAGGGGGACCAGCGACTTAGATGTCTACAGACGGGGGTGGCCCACTGGTCTCCACTCTGCGCCTTCTCTGTCTCGAAAGTTCCACTTGGGGGAGTGTAAGCACCCCCGGGGTAGGGCGGCGGAGGAGACTCCCTCTGGGCCAGAGGGTAGTGTGAACAGGGTTCAGGCTGTTGGAGCTGCAGCCAGGCCTGGCTAGGCTTGGTCCTCGTTTCCTCCCAGTTATCGTCCAGGCGCCAGCTGCGGGGCCTGTGCTTCCTGGCGCGCACTGGGAGCCTCCGGGCCACATCGATCAGGCTGTGGCTTTCCCGGGGCGAGGAGGTGTACCTGCGCCGGCGAGGCGGTGGGGTGGGCGAAGAGAGCTGGGGCGCCTCAGCCTCGCTGCCCCCGCCGGGAGTCCCCGCCCAGGAGCACAGGGCCGGCTCGGCTCCCCGCCCAGGCTCGCCCAGCAGCGCAGGAGACGCGCGCCCTTGGCGGGGAGGCGGGGGCTCCCAGAGGTCCCGGTAGGGCCGCGAGGATGCGCCAGCCGGCCATGCTCCCTCCGCGCGCGCCCAGCGTCTCCTGGAGGATCCTGGGCCCCCAGGGGGCGCCGCGGACACCCACGCAATCCTCGGATCCCGGGTCCGCGGTCGCCTGTGACGTTCTGGCCACTTCATAATGCAAGTGGCCCGGCGGATCCTCGTAGCCCTCGCCCCTCGTCTCGCATCGCCCACCCCGGCCTTGCTGGTCAACTACTGCCAAGGAGCGCAGAGTGGAAGCGGCAGGAAACTGCCGGGGGACCACAGCTCGGACCGAGGTGCTGCAGGAAGTCAAGGGTGACATTTAAAGCTGAGGGGGATGTGTCCATCTTACAGTAGCGGGATTTTAAGAGAGTTTAGGGAAGCTGTCAGCCCAGAATGGAATCTGGTCGCGGTGCAGTGGCAGGGCGAGTGGGGGTGGGGACTGAGTTCACCCACAGCCATCTAGGCACCTCCCTGCCACTGTGCATCCTTGCCATGTGCACAGTCAAGCGGCTGTGGAAACACATCGACATGCAGCACCACTCTTTTGCCATTTGAATTAGCAAGCCCAAAGTATGCGTTAAGGTTTACTACTTAGGCGGGAAAAAGGCGATCCTGTTTTTGTTTTGTTTTGTTTTCTCCCCTAATGAGGCAATTACTGCTCTTGTCAAAATATGAATGCCCTGGGCATGTTCCTAAAACAGCATCAGTAAATACTATACTGAAATCCCATTTATTTTTTTTTTTCTCTCCAATCTTGTCATTCATTTTCCTTGCAGAGGTACTCTGGGTTAATGGGAAACGCATTGGATTTGTTAAGGCAAAATTGAGTTTGAATCTCCTCTGCCATTTTCCACCCATGAGATCTTGGGCAAGTTACTGAACTTTCCTGGCCCTCAAGTTTGCGGAGGTGGAATGGGAGCGGGGGCCTGGTAATGTCAGCATTGCAGGACTGTGTGAGGGGCTGATGAAACGATGTATCCAAACCTTAGTTAGCCCTATAATGCCTTCAATAAATATTATGTCTTGTCAGGCTTCAGTTAAACGTTTTAAGACTTAATATAGGGGTTTGTAAAAATTTCTATAGATTCCCAGCTAAAGAAAAAAAAAAGAATGAAATGAATGTAACCCTGTAACGGTAAGGAACAGCATGGTTGGAGCGGTGACCCCCAGACTCTGTCATTGTTTACTGTGCTGTGGATATTGGTGAAGTCACTTCCCTTATCTAGGGCTGCTGTGATCTGAATGCGTGTGTCTCTCCCTCCCCAGTTCTTATGTTGAAACATAATCACCAATTTGATGTAGCAAGGGGTGAGGCTTTGGGAAAATAATTAGGTCATGAACATGAAACCCTGATCAATAGGATTAGAACCCTTATAAAAGAGACTTAAGAGAGCTCCCTTGTCCCGTCTGCCCTGTGAGGACACAGTGAAAAGACCACACTTGTGACCCAGGAAGGGGACCCTCATTAGACACTGACTCTCCTGGTGATCTGATCTTGGACTTCTAGCCTTCAGAACTGTGAGAGATAAATTTCTGATGCTTACGAGCCACTCAGTCTATGTCATAGCAGCCCGTATGGACTAAGACAAACAGTGTGGTTCTGGATAGCATTCTCCAAATATGTCCACTCCTTAAAGATGGAGGGGTGTCTATCCACCCCAGTCCTCTTTATCCACATCTCCTTAGAGCTTCACAGCAACCCCAGTTAGGCAGGCCCAAGAGAACTAATCACATTTCCCTTAGAACAAATCTGAGACTTGGCTACAATAATTAATTTCCCCAGCGGTCCCAAAGTCAATGGCAGGAGTTTTTTCTTTTCTTTTTTTTTTTTGGAGAGATTTTCACTGTAGGGCGCGTGCGCTTGCCAGACAGACAGAGAGAGACATAGAGACAGAAAGCGAGAAATCACCCCCCAGGAGGGATGGTCAGGCCGCAATCCATTCTCCTCCATTCTCCTCTCGGGATCTTGGGCACGTATGCACACGCGCCCGGCGTGAGTTTTAAGCCACCAGGTCCGGGATGCGAACCGCGGTCGACTACGTGGGAGTCCAGCGCCATAGCCATTACGCTAACTGCTGGTTCCCAATGGCAGGAGTTTTGATTTCAAATTTACTTCTCTTTCTGTGACATAAAGCTGTCTCTCAGAAAAGGCACTGTGACTAGACACATGCTTTTAAGAAAATTAGGATCAGATATATACCAGAGGTTCCAGGACACCAGGTCCTTGAAACCACGTGGTAGTAGTCTCAGCTATAGTGACCAAGCAATATGAAGGGGCCACCCTGGGGTGGGATCACACCAAGTAACTTGCCCAAGATCTCATGGGTAGAAAGTGGTAGGAGGTCACCACTCCTACCACTCTGTTCTTTACTGTTACAGGATCACTATGTCTCTAGCTGAGGACAAGAAGTTGTTTCTACCCTGGGTTTTTATTGTACCCACTCATACCCTTGTTAAATTATTTTATGTGGGAACCAGCAGTTAACGTAATGGCTATGTCGCTGGACTCCCACGTAGTCGACCGCGGTTCGCATCCCGGACCTGGTGGCTTAAAACTCACGCCGGGCACGTGTGTGTGCGTGCCCAAGATCCCGAGAGGAGAATGGAGGAGAAGGGATTGCAGTGTGACCATTCTCCCTGGGGGGTGATTTCTCGTTTTCTGTCTCTCTGTCTCTGTCTCTCTCTGTCTGTCTGGCGAGCGCACGTACCCTAGAGCGAAAATCTTTCCAAAAAAAAATTATTTTATGTAATTATAATCCTATGAGGAAGTAAGTTTAAAAAAACTTTATGTATGTATATATTTTTAATTTACCTTTTCTTGAAGAGATTTTTGCTATAGCGATATGTGAAGTATGTGCACTTACCAGAGAGACAGAGAGACAGAAAGCAAGAAATCACCCCTTGTGGGTATGGCCACACTGCAATCTCTTCTCCTCAATTCTCTTCTTGGGATTTTGGGCACACATGCACACGCGCCCAGTGTTTTAAGCCACTGGGTCTGGGATTCAAACTGAGGACGACCATGTGGGAGTAGGATGATGTAACCATTATGCCACCTGCTGGTCCATTTAATTTACACTTAATCACCATACATCTTTACTGTGTAGAACATGATTTTTCCCAGCATGAATACAGTGCATATTAGTCAAGTCAAAGACATTATCTTATACATTATCATTAACAGGTAATTTTTCATTTTTGTTTCTATTAAATGATTTGTTTTTTCCCTGATCCCCTCTGGTTCACCCCCTATTACTTACCCTTCTACACTGTCTCTAGTATCTACAGCTACCCTCCCTGCTATCATACCTTTCACTCTTTCAGTTTCTGCAATGAAGTGCAGACATTCAGCATATATTAAGTAGGGACCATAGAATGCCTGTCTTTCATAGGCTGCCTTGCATAACTTAGCATGAAATCTTCCATATTCATCTACCCTGTATCATATGTCAGGGCCTCATTGTTTTACATGGCTGAGTAGTATTCCATAGAGTACATGTGCCACATTTTTCAATCCACTCATTTGTTCTTGGACATTTGGGTTGATTCCACGTCCTAGCTATTATGCATAATGCCGCAATAAACACAGATGTGCAAGAGTCTTTCTGACCGAGGAGGAGGTAATTTTTTTTTTAAACAATTAAATTTAAAGTGAAATCCTTTCACTTTTAAAGGTTAGAAATGTTTAGGCATGAATTGAGTTGTGAGCGTCACATCTATCTGTTGATGCTATGTATGTAAAATATCTTGCTCTTGTCAAAGAGAAGCAGCGTTTTTGTTTGTTTGTTTGTCACAGAGAAGCGCTGTTAAATGGGTGAAAGCATAGCCACCCAAGAGTCAGAAGACCTGTATCAGCCAGCTCTGTCATTGGCCAAGTCACCTGAGCAGTCATGTCATCTATGAGTTTTGGTTTCCTCATCCCTGTAGGAGATAATCTGTAGTCTCTTTCCTCCTGTAATGTAACTGGGGAAAGGGTTCAATCTGGTAAACGCTTCAGTCTCCCTTCTGTGAAGCAAAAATGAATTAACCCATGAAAAACGCTTGCAGTGCCTGGCATGTGGTAGCTGCTTTATAAATATTGGCCACTAGAACCATCATGATCATTACGCCAGGAGCATTAAAACTGTGACAGTGTAGAGCTGAATTTAAAGACTTAATTTGGGGCAGAGCCAGAATTAGAACCCAAAGGCTCAGATTTTAGCTCAGTTCAGGGCTTTTTGCTTCCTCTAAAGGTCCTCAGAATTCATCAAGAAATTGGACAGAGGTCATTCATCTCTGTTGATGACGGAATGAAGAATACAGACTTGGGCTTCATAATGCCACAAACATTCATCAAAAAGCTGGCCAGGATTATGCAGGTAATATTGCTAGGAAAAACAGATCCAGCTAAGAGATGTGGTAAGTGGTTAAAGAGGCACCTGCAGAGTTCCCATGGGAGGGAGGGTTTATTCTAGTTGGGCTGTTCATAAGGGAAGGCTTCATGAAAGATGACCTTGAAGCTAAACCTGGGACAACAGTTAGGATTTCACCAGACAGGAATGTCCAGTAAGGCACACCTGGCTGAGGAACCTGCATGGGCCACAATGGACCTCAGATGCCGGGTGCACTGAAGTCGGGTGTGGCTTGTATAGTGGCACGGAGCATGTGTACAGTGGAGGTGAAAGTCGGGTGTGGCTTGTATAGTGGCACGGAGGATGTGTACAGTGGAGTGTGGCTGATGAGGTAGATAGGTGGGCTGGGCCCAGGTTCTGTAGGGCCTTCAATGCTGGGCTAAGAGCATGAGCTTCCTCCCACTGGACAGTTGAGTTCCCTATATCCATAGCTCCAGGACTTTAGGGCAGGCTCTGATCCTCTGTTCCTGTTGTACCTACAGTAACTTTGATTTTATCTGTTATAGCCCGACTTCCTTATACCATTGAAAAAAAAAATCAGAGTTTTTCTACTTCTAAAAATGGGTTGAAATTCACTGTGTAGATAACGGTGGGAGGTAAGTTAGTCTTGAAACTGGAAAAGTAATCCATTGGGATTTTAGAAAACTCACCTGGCAGCAGTGTGGAGATAAGTTAGGATGCTGGTTCAACAATCTTGGAAAGCACTAAGGAAGTGTAAACCAGGAGACTAGCAAGGGGACAAAAAGGGATAGATTCAGGTGTTAGTCCGGAGGTCCAGGGGTCATGTTGCAAAAAATGAGTTCAAGGGCCAGCAGGTAGCATGGTGGTTAAGACAGCTGGATCCCACATGGCTGACAGCGTGGTTTAAGTCTGGGACCCAGTTACTGGAAAAACATTCAGGGCACATGTGTGTACATGCCCAAAATCCTGAGAGGAGGAAGGAGTGCAGCATGGCTATCTCCTCTGGGGGCTGATTTGTCACTTTCCTTCTCTCTGTCTCTCTCTGGTGAGTATATGCATGCTATGGCAAAAATAACAATAATAATGAGGACTCAATATAGAGAACAATACATATATTTTTTTTATTTAGAGAGATTTTTGCTATAGGGCACATGTTCTTGCCAGAGAGACAGAGAGACAGAAAGCCAAGAAATCACCCCCCAGGGAGGATGGCCACACTGCAATCCCTTCTCCTCCATTCTCCTCTTGGAATCTTAGGCACGCATGCACACATGATGGCATGAGTTTGAAGCCACCGGGTCTGGGACTTGAACTGCAGTTCACCATGTGGGAGTTCAACAACATAACCACTAGACCATCTGCTCATCCCGGGAGAATAGTTTTTTAACCAGGGATCCTGGGCATATGGTGACAAAAGATCTCCAGTCTAGGTGACCTTGAGTACAGTGATCTGGAAGTCAGACAGAAGAAGCTGTAATAACAAGTGACTCCCCCACAGAACAGCAAACAGTGTGGAACACATTGACCAAACCTGGAAGAAAAAGGTTTCTCTTTGTGAAAATACTGTGGGCCTTAGAGCACAGCAGCACAGACCACAGCACATCCTCCTCGTCTGCTTCTGTACCATCTCAGTTAGCATCTATTGCATCTGATCTTCACTGGAAGGATCAGCAGCTCAGAGGCCACTATCAGCTCTTCCATGAGACAGATGAAAGAGATGTTTTGCAAATGCTAAGCTGCCAAGCAGTCCCTTGATACTAAGAACAATCAACCTCATTTTTATTTGGCAGAAAAGTTCTCAAATGTGTTTTACTGGATGTCTCAGAATGTGGGCTTTCTGCCAAATGAAGACCTGGCCTTCTTAATTTGTTGGAGGCTTGAAAAATATGGCAAGACGTGCTCTGACCCCTCAATTCAGATGTATCTGTGGCATGGAAATGTGCTCGGTGCCCTCCATCAGAGCAGACTGTGAATTTTGAAATGACTTCAAATTTCTTCTGTTAGCGAAGCTCCTAATTCTTGGAGGGGTCAAAGCAAAGAAATAAGCTAGAGCAGTTCTAACACAGCAGCCAGTACCTGCTCACCCGTGGTCTGAGCACTTGGATGTGGGGAGTTCAAACTGACCCATGCTGTAGGTACAGAGCACACACTGAGGCAGTAATGCACTGCTCACAACAAGCCAGAGTCCACATGGCAGCCATGGTTCAAATCCCTGGCTAGGTCAGTCTGAAACATACCAGGCATGTGTGTGAGTGCCCAAGGAGTGGAGGGCTGAAGGACTGGAGAAACGGGATCATGGTGTGCCCAGATCTTGTGGAGGGTGCTCCTCTCTCTGTGTCTCTCTCATTCTCATGTTTGCACATGCATACTCTATCATGAATTTAAAAAAATACACATTGCATTCCAAAAACTTAATATGAAAAAAAGGTAAATTATCTCAATGCTTTTTTTTTTTTTTTTGAGAGGTTTTCACTGTAGGGCACGTGCACTCGCCAGAAAGACAGAAACAGAGAGACAGAAAGTGAGAAATCACCCCCCAGGGGGGATGGCCACGCCACAATCTCTTCTCCATTCTCCTCTTGGGATCCTGGGTGTGCACGCACACTTGCCCGGCATGAGTACAAGCCGTTGGGTCTGGGACACAAACCGTGGTTGACTACATGGGAGTCCAGCGACACAGCCATTACGCTAACTGCTGGTCCCTCTCAATGCTCTTTTAAACATTGGTCACATGTTGAGATGATGCTATTTCCAGCCCAGTAGATTAAATAGAATTTAGTATCACAATTAATTTCCCCTGTTTCTTGTACTTGTTTTAATGTGATTACTAGTAAATTTAAAATTAAGTATGTATGTAGATGTAACATGTATCATGGTATATTTCTATTAGACAATGCTTCTCTAAGTCATAGAGGCACACACACACACACACACACACACACACACAGAGAGAGAGAGAGAGAGAGAAAGGAAGAGAGAGAGAAAGAGAATGTGAGAAATCACTCACTTTCCAGGAGGGATGGCCACACCACAATCCCTTCTCTTCTCAGCATTTTAGGCACGCATGCACACGACTCGAACTGCACAGTAAACCCTGTGGGGTCCAGCTGCTTTAACATCATGCTATCAGCTGGCCCATATAAGCCTTTTTAAAAGCTTATTGTTTAAAAATTTCTTCCAGGGGTGAGAGAGATAGAGGCAGGCGCCCCCAACAGGGTCTTCACACCATGACCCACCTGTGGCTTCAGCCAGCCCCAGATCATGAACATGTGCACCCCGTGCTCAGGGAGGCCTCTGGACATAAACATGGAACCTTCCTCTGTAATTCAGTCTCACAGAACATTGTGTTACCACTACACTACCATCTGGCTCCAACATTTTTTAAGAAAATAGTGGGGGGACCAGCAGATGGCGTAATGGTTACATCACTAATGACCGTGGTTTGAGTATCGGACCCAGTGGCTTAAAACTCACGCCACGCACATGTGCGTGTGTGCCCAAAATCCCAAAATGAGAATGGAGGAGAGGGATTGTGGCGTGGCCCTCTCCCTGGGGATGGGGGGAGGTTGCTTTCTCGCTTTCACTTTCTGTCTCTGTCTCTCTCTGTCTTTCCAGTGAGCACATATACCCTATAGCAAAAATCTCTCTTTAAAAAAAGAAGAAAGAAAGAAAGAAAATAGTGGGACAAGGGACTGGAAATAGGAAAAATAGGAAAGGTAAGTTACTATGGCAACACTCACTTACCAACAATGCAAATAATCCATATATATGAGAGTTTACAGGCATTAAACATGATGACTGATACATATTGAGTGTGTGGTGGAGCTTTGCTTTGAGTGCTCTACATGTAAACCCAATCACAACAACTCAAAGCAGGGGCTCTTTCTTCCTGAGACACACACAGAAAACTAAGAGCATGAAGCTGGGTGGCAGTGGAGCCGTGGGAACTGGGCCCTCGCCCTGACCTTGCACCATACTGCCTTCCATGCCACGCTGTGTAATTCTAGCCAGAGAAACGAGGTATGGGCCAGAGAGCGAGAGAGGACTTTAAAGGTTTCTGGGTTTGTGACAATTTAGGAAGTTAATATTTTTCACATTTGTAACCTCAATGCAATTGAAAGCTGGAGATGAAAGGAAGAAAGGCAGAACGCAAAATAAGTGTGTTCACTTCGACAGAGAAATAACAGGACTGAGGTGCAGTCTGGACCACTCAACAGTGACACAGAAACAAAACCAAATGATGAAGTTGTTCTTGAAATGGTTGTCATATTAAGCTTGGGAAGAGGTTTACACAGTGGAAACTTAGAAAAATAGTTGCACTTAATAGCTTATCCAGTCGGTACTACTTCTTCATTCTCAGCATAATATAGGCATTATGTCAAAGACACATATTTAATGGCCAGCCTGTGGCCCAGTGGTAAAGCAGCTGGATCCCATATGGCTGATGCATGGTGTGAGTCCCAGACCCAGCAGCCTGAAAACCACACAGGGCATGCATATTTGTGTTCAAAATCTTGAAAGGAAGGAGAAATGGAGAAGGGATTGCTGTATGACTGTTCCCCTTGGGGGATGCTTTCTCCTTCTCCCCACCTCCTTTGCTTCCTGGTGAGTGCATGCACCCTCTGGAATATTTTTTTAAAAGATATATATATTTAAATGACAGATGATACCTATGTAAGAAAGAGAGAAAGAGAAAGCACCCTCAATGGGGCTAGTCACCCCACAATTCTTTTTCTTCCAATTCATCCTATGAGGACCCTGGGTACATGTGTACTTCATATATTTTCAAACTGACAGAGACCGAGACTCAAACCCTGGTCAGTCACGTGGCATCTAGTTTCCTCCATGCAGAGCCTAACTGTTGTGCTATGGGGCTGGCTCCTGTATTTTTTTTTTAGGTAAAAAAGATGTGCTTCGTTGAAACTTTTAAAAAGAAGTGTGAATCTTCTAAAGTTCTTTTTTCCCTGTTTCATTAACATTGAGCCTGGAGTTTTTAACGTCGAAGG